TAGTATATATATATATATATATATATATATATCTGTTTGTGTGTGTGGGGGGGGTTTGCTCGCATTTGTGTGTGTAGATATGTGCGTGGGTATGTGTGCCTGCTTTCGCTATTTTTCTCTCCATACAATGGGGCGGCAGAAGAGTGAGTCCAAGGGGGTGGGCGGAAGAGCTCTAGTTGTAGGTAAAGTCATGGATGTTGGCACCTTGTTGCAGCGTCAGATGGAGCTGCACGGGGCGCTTCGGCGCCCGCCTCACACGGTTGCTCAGCTCCAGGAAGTCCACCGGGTCATGAAGGAGGTGCTGAGTTTCTTTCAGCGTGTGAGGTCCACAGCGAGCGTGCTTAGCAGCTCACCAGAAACCGTCTTTCAGTGCCTTATGCACATTGGCATGGGAGACGTTGTCAGCTTTGACAAGCAGCGACGCGATGGTGCGGTGCCGATGCATCAAGCAAAGGTGCTGTCTCGGACCAACGCGATTCAATTAGAGCCCCGCCTTCGAACCGCTGTTCCGGCTGATGTGTTAGATGCCATGGTGGCCCTGAGTAAAACCACTCGAACCCTGCTGCGCATCAAGGTGGAGGACGGCAATGACTTCACAATTGCGGAGACTGCATTGCGGCAATCCATAGAGTACCTGGACTATATTGATGCCGCCTCGGGAAGCGTTCCTGAGGTCATGTTCAAATTCTACATGGTGGAGGACGAGGCATCGCTGTTATCGCTCTTGGGGCACACCCTGTCGGAGACTTCGCGTGGACACTCTGAGGGTGGAACCTCAACAGAAGTAACGGCTACTCTGCCATCTGATGAAGACTTAGAAAAAGAGCTCCGTCGACTGGCACACGTGTGCACATCTACGACAGAGACAGCAGGGGATCGAGTAAGTGCCCTGCGAACCATCAATTCCTGGATAGACATGATGGAGGAAGATAAATTTCTTCTCCATATCCGTCAGGTGGCATCCCATCTTTCAGGCCCTTTGGCAGTGTGCGCTGCGGAAAAGCGCTCCGCGGTATGCCGACAGGCGTGTAATGTTATGGTGAGTATCGCAGAAAGAACCCCCGCAAGGCTTTACCAAGAGGGGCCACTGAAAGTGGCCCTCGCCAAGTGGTGTTCTGTTCTTGTGCGTGGTGTCTTTGTCACGGTGTCGGCAATCGCACAGGCCACGCACGCCGCTCTTCGGGTTCTTGTAATTGGCAGCGGAGGCAACGCGGCGGCGCTAAAATGCATCATAGATGGTCTAGAATCTGGCACTCACCCGGAACTGCGGCGCAAGTGTTTGGGCTATCTTGTCCTTGGCGTTGTCGCCTCGCGGGGTGAAGCCTGCGCGGCCCACCCCAACCTTGCCGCGGTGTCGGCGAAGTACATGGAGACTGGGGACAGTGCGTGCAGAAAGATGGCACGGACACTTTATATTGCCCTCGTCCACTTCGCTGGGGCGCCCAACGTGACGGTAAACCGGAAATCCGAATCTCTCATTCTGCAGGAGGAGATGGAGCTGAGCGGGGTCCTGGATGACGTTGAAGACCTTGACAAAGTTGTGTTTGGCGGAGATGCGGAAAGGCGGGTCTCCACCGGCCCCAGCGTGCAGCGTGGCACGGCCCAATTCAGCACACCCACCACATCGTCCAGAACACATGCGGTGCGGCGCGAGTGCACGCAGCCCTTCACGGTGGACATCTACGATACCTCCGCCTGCCTCGGGACGCTGGATACGCTGCATGAGGGAGCGCAGCCAACCAGGCTTCCCGCTGTGCCCTCGCGGGGGAACAGCCCCCAGTTGAAGACCCCCACCAGAATTCGGCTTCATTCATTTTCTCTGCTGGAAGACGAGGCTGCGCCTGCTCCGCCAGTACAGCCGAAGGCCGTGAAATTGAGCGCCTCGTTGCGTCGCAAGATAGAAGAGGCTTCGTCTCTCCCCGCCTTACGTCACTGACGTCCGCGGCATAACTGGAAACGACGAATCAATAGCTGCTTGGAACTGTCATAGATTTTCTTCTCTACTCACGGAATATAAAAAAAAAGAAAAGCACACACGCAAAAAAAAAACAGAAGCAGGAACGCTTCTCCGCTTTGTAGTGCAGCGCTGCTGCGACTCTCAACCGGTAACGGCGATTTCCGAAGAGGGGTTTACACCATTGCAAGTGTTGCGTGTTGCGAATGGGCGGCGCGGGGAGATGCAGTTAAGATGCAGAGGAACCAAAACTGAAACACAAAAAAAAAATCTTTGTGTGTGTGCGGGGGGGGGGTAATGCGTGGGATGGAAGCACTACTTAGTGAGAAGTAAATTCTTTGGGACGCCTTGCGGTTTGAAGTGCCCAAAGAAGACTGATGGTGTTTGCGGCAGCAAAGAGGTAAATGAATAAAAAAAAGATTGCTTATCCTTGAACCCTTCCTTTCGTTGGATGTGATACGCAGTCACATGGACATACTTGTATCTATGCCTTGTATTACGTCCATGACGGTTTGTTGATGATTTGCGGGATGCGTAATGTCATTGGTGCGACTACGAGCACTAATGCTAATACTTCGGCCAGGTGCCTTGTTAAGGTTGCTATGAGCCCATCCCGTGACTATCATTTGCATTATTATTATTTTTTTTCTTGTTGGCGTCTTTGTTGCTACGCATGGGTGTTTTTTCTCGAGCGGCTGGAACACGCAGCGTTACTTGTGCGGGGAGTGTGGTGGTGAAGTATTTAAGTCTGGGACTGAGCCAGGAAGAGCGGGATGACTTGCCCTCCCGCAGCCAAACGGCCACGGCTGGAGGCCAGGCCAAGTGTGACGCCTTGGGTGGAGAAGTACAGGCCACAGACTCTAAACGAGGTGAAGTCACAGGAGGAGGCGGTGAGTGCGCTGCGGGCCAGTCTTCAGTCGCGCGCAAGCATGCCGCACTTTCTCTTTCACGGCCCGCCTGGCACGGGAAAGACAACGGCAATCCTCGCCGTGGCGCGGGAACTTTTTGGGCCTGATTACGTGCACAAGCGCGTGCGAGAGCTCAACGCGAGTGATGATCGAGGCATTCAGGTTATACGCGAAAAAGTGAAGGTGTTTGCGCAGACGGCAGTTGGCAATGTTGGGCAAAAGACGCAGTCCGATGGCAAAGTGTATCCCGTTCCGCAATTTAAGCTTATTATTATGGACGAGGCAGACGCGCTGTTGCCGGATGCGCAGGCCGCCTTGCGTCGGATGATGGAGGACTTCAGTGACGTCACACGTTTTTGCATTCTCTGTAACTACGTCAGCCGCATCATTGATCCCATAGCCAGCCGCTGTGCCAAATACCGGTTTAAACCGCTTGTTAAGCAAACCTTGTATGATCGGATTCGTGAAATTGCGCAGTCGGAGGGCCTAGCTGTATCGGATGCCTCGCTGGAGGCGTTAGACTGGGTGAGTGGCGGAGACTTGCGGTCCGCCATCATGTATTTGCAGTACGCACAGAAGGCGCATGGAAATGATCTCACACATGAAGATTTTTTGGAAGTTTCGGGTAGTGTGCCAATGGAGATGTTGCAAAAATACTTGAAGGCACTTGTGACGAAAAACTTTGATGAAATGTATTCCTTGACGAAGGAGCTTGTTGCGCAGGGCTACCCGGCAAGCCAGCTTCTTTCGCAGCTGCAGCGGTACATTACAGATCCAACCTGTCCCTTGAATTCTCTTCAGCGGAGCTGCGTTGCGTTGAAGCTCTGTGATGTGGAGAAGCGTTTGTCGGACGGCGGTGACGACTTGCTGCAGCTTCTGGACTTGGGGACCACCATCTGCGCTCTGTGACTCGTCAGAAATCGGGGGATATAACTAAATACGACAACAAGAGGAGGACAAGCATAGACCCTTGGTGATGCCGTACTGCTTGCGCTGCTGCTGGCTGCTTTGCATGGCGCTGCTTTCTTTTGTTCTCTTTTCTTCTTTTTCTTTTTTGGCGCGGGTGAGGAAAGTTGGAATAAACGAGAGAAGGAACACCAAGAAGGAGAGAAGGGAATGCGCTCAATGGCAGCCAAAGAAGTTGAACGTGGGAGTTAGTTGCCGAAACGCACAGATTGTTACATTTTCTCTTCTTGTTGCCGTCTTGGTGGTGTTTCTTTCTTGTTTGTTGTGTGTGTGTGTGTGTGTGTGTGTGTTTGGTTCCCCTTTTCCATCCGCCTCTGCGGTGCACACCCCTGGCAGGCTGCAGTGTACCCGTATCCTGCCGCCTCCACGCATGATGTGTTTTTTTTCCCCCCCCCCTCTTCTCATTCTGTATGACTGTTATTACTGACTCTGGCGCTTGGCCTGCTGCATTTCATGCCCTTTTCTCACACCTCCTGCTTTAGTGAAGGAAAGCAGGCAAGCGGGGCATGTCTTCAAAGCCGTCTGACGAGAGTGATGTCCAGTTCAACACCGAGGTGGATCCAGAGGCCGAACTGCAGGAGATGCAGCGGCAAGTGAGCGACCTCCAGGAAGATCTACGGCTAAAGACGCTGCAACAGACCGCAGCCCAAGACGAAGGCCACCGAAAGAGCACGGGATCTGTGGCCACGAAAAACGCATCTATTTTTGTAGGTGGGATGGACCCTCGTACAACGGAAGGGGAGCTTCGGGTGTTTTTCAGTTCGTGTGGTACGATTAAACGACTCACCATGTTGCGGGACAAGTTTACTGGGCAGTTAAAGGGTACTGCGTATATAGAGTTCGAAACGCCCGAACAGGCAGCTGCGGGAATCTTGAAGGATGGTCAGTCACTACATGGGAAGCCGTTGAATGTTGCGATGAAGCGCGATAACATTCCGGCGTTTCAGCGCGGTAGGGGGGCGGGTGGTTTTCCGCGGGGCGGCTTTCGCGGTGGAGGAGCGGGCTCGATGCAACAGCAAATGGCGATGGCGGCAACAATGATGGCTGCAAGCATGATGGGTGGTGGTGGTGGTTTCAACCCGTTTTGCGGACCGGCGCGAGGACGCGGTCGAGGGCGCGGACGCGGCGGGCCGCATTAGCGGCGCAATGTAGGTAATAACGGTCTCTCTTGCTCGACGGCAGACGACGGAGCGCGTGCGTGTCGCCGCAACTCGCGGTGGTGCGCCGCGTTAGCCAAGGGCGGTACCTGGAGCAGACAGACGGGGAGAACAAGGAGGTAAAGAGAGAAAGATATTATATATATATATATATATAAGAAGCACACACCTGCCCGCCTCAACGAACGCCAGCACTAAAAACGTGCAGTAAGAAACGAGGGCTGTGGGAGGATGTGAGGTGAGAAAACCAACAAGTAAAAAAAAAAAGAGTATTTTCCCTTTTCGTGTCCCATCGCCCGCAAGTCTGCGTCGTGAATTATGGAAGGGCTGGCCTCCGCCCTTTGGGGCGAGGAAAGGTGAGGCTACCAATGGCTTGGGGAAAGAAGAGATGTCGGTGCAACCATTGCTTGTATTCCGCTCTCTGCGCTTTCCTCTTTTTTCCTGCCCAATATTGTCTTTTTTTTTTGCTTGTTTGGTTGGTTGTTTGGTTTTTTCCCACACGGCGGAATAAGAGCAAGACAAAGCAAGCCTTACTATTTTTGCTCTTGCCTCGGGTAGTTGCTCTGTCGTTTGGACAGAAACTGTACGGGGTGGGTGGGGGAAGGAACGTGGGTGGAAAGGTATGACTCTTCTTCAGTGGAGAGCGGGTGAGAACTACGTGGATGTGGTGAGCTCGTGCCCATTCACTATTCAAGACTGTCGGCCAGTCGGCTCATGGGGAGCGAGTCCGTCACAGCAAGCATGGCCACTTCACGCAAAACGCAAAGGATATTCAGCGGGGAAATATATGGCAACTCTGTGGGCCTTGGATACGGGAAGAACGTACCTTGTCGATGTCGTGGTGGAGAAAGGAGATGCGGCTGCGGCTGACGCTGATTCCGTGGGCTGCAATGGCCACGAAAGCGGCGTGGCCGCAGTATCGTCTTCTACGGCTCTTTTGACGTTACGTCAATACAAGGGGCCATTGGCGTTTTGTTCAGCGTATGCCATTTTGGACGTCCGGCTTCTCTACCGGGACGACTTCCTCGATTGTTTGTTGTCACAGAGCGGCGACTTTATGTTTGTTGAGCAGTTTGAAATGCCGAAATCGACCTTGCTGCATCTTTTGTTTTACCACTCCCTTTTTGCGCTTCCGAGTGAGGTGGATGAAAGACCCATATACCTGCTACCAAACGGCGCCACAGGGCGCTTCTGCTTGGATTTGAAGCAGGAAAACATTCCTTGGCGAAACAGTAGAAAGGTGCGGCGACTCGTGTCGCATGATCGCTTTGTGGTGGCTGTGAATCGGGACATTCGAGACTCGCTTTACTTGGCACGCGAATATCATACGATGCGAAATGAGTTCACATGGTTAGAATCCAGCTACATTGAACTTCTCGCGAATATGGCGTGTCATCCAGAATGCGGCGTATGTATAGTGGCGGTGGAGCTGTTGGAACAAAGTAGTGGCGCGGTTCTTGCTGGATGTCTGGGATACTCCCTCGGTTGCGTCTATCACGATTTTACCATGTTTACCATGCGACGCTCGCCGGAGGGCTTCGGCACCTTCGTCACCAAACTGCTGGGTGATGCGCTGCAGCAGTGCGGGTACAACATCTGGTATTGGGGGTTTTGCTTAGACTACATGAGGCAGTTTGAGGAAAAATACGGCGGAAGAGTTGTTTCAAAATCGGAGTTTATCACGCGTTGGGAAGAACAACGAAATGTGCCGCCGGATTGTACGCTGGAGGCTTTCTTTCGCTCAGGGAGAGGCATGCTGCCGTACTTTGCCGCTGTGAAATAGCCGCTGGGTTGGCCCCGGGAGGCGCCGCGGCGGAGGAAGAAGAGGAAAAAGGAGGTTGGGTGGGCAAATACATATACGCAACGCAAAAATAAAAATAAAATAAGAAAAACACAATATATATATATATATATATATATATAG